TGATGTCATCTATGTCTTCAAAACAGCTCCCTTTAATGACCCCCCCTTGATGTTTAAAAAGGTGGAAAAATAGAAATAATAAATCACACTAAACCAGGTCGGGTTCTAGTAAGGAGGTTGATCTAGCATGGGCATGTTCTTCTCGGCCACGAACTGCCAGATGCTCATGGCATTGTGAGCAGATGTGTTTGGACAAGCTTCAGCCATAGGTTGGCCGCTGCAAATCTAATCCCTCCATTTACAGTTATGTAGTTAAATGAATATGCTGGTTTACTCAGTGTATTGGTCAACCTCATTAACAATTGCTGACTCTACTTTGGTGAATTTGAAGTTACCGTATTTTCCACACTTAAAAGGCGCCTTGGATTATGAGGCACACCTTCAATGAATGGCCTATTTTGTAATTTTTTCCATACATTGGATGCACTGCATGAGAAGACGCAATCTACAATGCATCCACTAGATGGCACAACGTTCAAGGAAATGCCAACAGAACGATCAGATGTCAGTAAAACTTAATTAATAAAGCAGCGACACAGTTCACTTAACCAACAGCAAGTTATAACATTGACTCGTTAACGTTGAACTCCCTTGCCGCTGCTCTATTTCCGTGTTCAACTGCGAAACCGATCGCCTTGAGTTTGAACTCTGCGTTGTAAGCATGTCTCTAGCAAGGAGCCATTTTGGGGGTCGACATATTACCGTAATAACCATACACAAGGAACACTGGATTGTAAGGCGTGCTGTGCGCTTTTAAGAAAATGGAAGTATTTTAGGTGCGTCTTTTAGTGCAGAAAATACAGTAGTTTAGATGTGTCAAAATCAGTGACTACAAGCTTCATTTCATCAAAGTTTAGTTCCAATTTGTTTGACATATTGGGGCACTCCATTATTGCATTCAGCACTTTTTTGGGGTTGTGTTTTTTTTTTGTTTTTTTTTATCTGAAATGGCACCGACTGGACCTAGAACTCCCCTTTTCAAGATGGCTGCACCCATGAAAGCGGACAGGCTTCCCTTCCCACGAAAATACCCCCAAAAATGAGTTTCAGAGTTTGATTGATGACACACAAAGCAAGAAGTGCTTAGCCTGTGTGCCAGTGCATTTGCAGGTTAGGACAAGTGAATGTCAATTAAATATCGATGAAGTTGGCAAATTTTGGGAATAAACAAAAAATGTAAGGAAACCCACAATTGTGTAAAACAAGTGCATCCAGAAATGAGATTCACATAAATGACCAAGATAAAAATCCCCCAGATTTCATTGAAGGCATAAAACTTGAAATCAGGCTTGTGAAAAAGCCCCCCCCCCAAAAAAAAGGATTTAGCCCACTCTCGTTATCTGTGGATCAATTCAAAGACCTTTACTCACTTGTTTCTCCCATCTCATATTCACTGTCTCTGAGCAGCTCAAAGATGTCCACCTCCAGCTTTCCGGTGATGGAGCGATTGCTGCTTCTGTTGATGCTGTCTTTGGCCAGCGTGATGGCCAGGCGCTCTCCTCTGCTGCACTCCATTGGGTCATCTAGGATGGCAGCTGCACAGAGACAGCCAAGGAGACAATGATGACGGAGTTGAATTCAAAGCAATCACAAGACGAGTGAACACTCTCCTCAAATCGGAACGCGATTTGACTCGATTGCTGTCTTATGATTGTTTCCCCACCACTTAGGTGGCTCTGAAAGTCTATTTCCCAACAATGAACCTTTATTACAACAAACAATATCTGACCCGTTATGCGTTGCGAAACACTGAACTAAAGGCAAATACAGCATGAATATGATTTTTATCCACTACAATTATGACGTGCAGTTTGGTAAGCTTTCGCCACGACAACATCAATATTCCACACCGGTTTTAAGCTGTCCCGTAAAGCCACAAACACAAGTTCAGAACGCGACGATAATGTCAACACATCAGTAGCTTTGCCACTTGTGGTGAGGGAACACAAGTTGCTCACTTTCAAATGGAAGGCAGCAAAGTAGAGACGGGTTTGTTCCGAAAGTGAATGATAGTTTTTCACCTAATGAAGGGAAAAAATGAAAACATAAACAAGAGCGCTATCGAGCATGTTGGGGTTCTTTGCAGTATCACGGTAAAAATTGTGGCTCTTGAACGATAGTTGGCTATGTCGTATGGTAGACGTGTTTATACCGTACGACAATCTATACGATTCCACTGCACAGATGTCATTACTTGTGATGTAAAAGGAATCGAGTCTTGAAATTGTCAGCCAAGCAAAGAAACCATTCCAAGGGATCAAATTCCTGGGAAATGTTTCTCAAAAACAACTTTTTATTTTATTTTTTTAAATTCCTACTCTTAGTCATCGCTAAGAGATTTTTGGACAATCTTAACATCTTCACTATTAACACACAGACCCAAGGTAATACATGTGACTTGTTCTTTGCTGGTTACAATAAACAAAAACGAATTTAACCACAGTGAGAAGGTCAAGTCTAGTTGTTCACTGATAAAAATCCTGTTACAAAGTGCGATTTTGATTACCTCTACATTGCACGACTTTAGGGTCATTCTACTTTGAGAGGTTCGTCTGTACCGTTTGGGCCCATCCGCGGGCTCTTGTTCGTCGCACAAAAAGCTCTTGATAAGAGTCATGAAGTGCTGTGATCGTCTTCGCCTTTGTTTTCCCTCATCTCATTAGTCCAACATTTTTTTTGACAAGTCAAAATGTGTGATAATACCCCCAAGCGCTGTTGAGTCACAAAATGGCACATTGCACAGGTCTGGATACACGTCGCCAATCTCTCCGGCCTTGTAGCTGTTTGTCTGTTCCATGAAACGTTCGAATTCTGACGTGGCCCGTTCTTATGGTATCTGACATTTCATATGTGACAGCTGGTAAACAAGGAAGACTGATTTCATATAGGGAAAACATGAGCTAGCCCTTGGTCCAGTGAGGGCAAATTCTGGATACACGTCGCCAATCTCTCCGGCCTTGTAGCTGTTTGTCTGTTCCATGAAACGTTCGAATTCTGACGTGGCCCGTTCTTATGGTATCTGACATTTCATATGTGACAGCTGGTAAACAAGGAAGACTGATTTCATATAGGGAAAACATGAGCTAGCCCTTGGTCCAGTGAGGGCAAATCAATGAGTCGACGGGGGGCTGTGCTAAGGCTGTGGACCGCGGAAGAAAGTCTTTGCGATGGCAGGCATTCAAAAAAATAAATTAAAAAATATATATACTCCCCTGAGAGCGTAAAGCAGCACAAAGTGATCTTCGGAGGACTATTAGAGTCTCTCGCAGATGCGATCCTTTTGTAAACATGCACGGCTGGCTGATTTGCGACGTAACACCCTTTGAGCATTAAAACGGCACCGCACTATTAAGCAAATCAACTTTTTCATCTGCAATAATAGTTCAGTGAGGCAGACTGGGAGCCTTGATTGCATGGCGCGGTTCAATTACGGCATTCAAATTTCGATGCGAGACGGCGAGCAAGCAGAGTTCAGCTGAGCTCGCAAGGGGACACTTTGGAAAGGTTAGCCCTGATCTGGTGTGCGCTTCTCAACAGGTGTGTGGTCGGAATGCCAATTGCTGTCTCGTGCGTGGATGGCGTGACATCACACCAGTGCGACACAATGTAACCCTTAAAATTTGAACAAAGTAGGAGTCAGGAGTTCTGGTACAGTGCTATGGAATTGGAGAACAAAGCGTGGAAGGATTGAGATTGAATCAACAGCGCCGCTCTGTTGGTTGCAGTCTAGTATTGCATTTCATTTTAACTCCATTCCTTCAAGACGGAGTCACACAAGTCCCTATCATTGGCAGAATCCTAATGATCACCTCATTATTTTTCCCACTTGTAGTAGAAAGGCAAGGAAAGTAGTTGACGTTAGCTTTTTCTAATCAGCCCAATTAGCCAGAAAATTCAAACAAGCCGAAGTACTGCGGTGCCTTGAGATACGAGCAACCCAACTTGAGTGAGTTTTTTTTAAGGTGGGAGCTGTCGTTTGTATGATATTGTTGCAATGAGTTGCATGCAAAATCTTGTTGAACATGTACCTGTGTGACATGGAAATACCATGAAATAAAATCTGGAACGTGAGATTAAAACACACAAAAAAAAATTGCAAGTAAGATCAATGACATCAGCGTGTTTGCTACAAGCAAACACCAACAATTAGAGCTTCAAATAAAATAAATCCAGTCTTGTATATGCTCCTTGACCCGGGAAATGGAATGTTTATTTTACCACAAATAAGTGCAAATGGAATGTCGGAAACGCGGCATTCACAGTTCAAACTGCTTCAGGGCATCACGTCCTGTGATTTTTTTAGCTGCCTCTTAAAGGTAAAAAAGAGAAAGGTTATGCTGCACTCTTGCCGTGGCTTAGGAAATTCGTAGTACATGCTCTTAGTTCGAGAGGTTCCAGTAAAGTGTCAGTCAAGGGTAAGAAACTCATTAACCTTTTGAGGCATCGCCCGGCTGGTCTATCACCCGAGAGTTCTGTTCCCTTGTCCATCAGGCCATGTACGAAATGCAGATCAAATGAACCAAATTGAAGCCGACTGTAACTTGAATTTAATGTTGACGTGCTGACGGGTGTTGATGGAGATAAAAGCCATTACGTGATGGAGAAATGGTGAATAGTTCACATGGACTTGACCTTTGATCGAAGAATTTTGAAGATGTTATTGCCATCACTTTCATTTGAATTGGACTTTATATCCAAGCAGTGACAGGTAAGCTATTGTGGAGTTTTATTACCTTCACACACCAATGCCTTTTGCATTAAGTATTAGAATCTAAAAATACATTTTATAGGGATGCAGAAAAAAAAAAAGCACTGTTCACGGGGACAATGTCCATCAATTTTTCAAGTATTCCACTGATTGAGCCAAGCTTGTGCTTATTTGTCTGACGAGTCAAGAAAAATCAGCAGGTTCCTGATTGCAGGCGGAGTTCTTTGCTCTTTTAGCAAGGTCTGAAATAGAAAACTGCTTCAATTATAATTATGGAGATAACTCCCCCACATCCCTCAAACTCAAAATATCAATCATTTCTGACTTGGAAAAGGACAGGATTTGAAACGCAACAAAGCAATGAATATATTTTGTGGTGTCGGTCATGAGAGGAGCACTTCACTTCGCCAAACACATCGATAGTTACGTTCACATAAATTCAGTGCAGATGTGTCAAAAGACGTCTGAATAAAAACCACTTATCGCAAGGTTTGCGATGTGTTTTGTGCTTTGAGGAGATGAGGGGAAAAGAACATCGAGGATGCAGACGTCACAAGTGACACAGAGAGGACTGCCCTCCTTAAGCACCTCGATTCATCGACTGTACCGATATTCAAGCTTTGCGCATCTTGTCCTTTCTTCACAACGCGAGGCCGGCATGAATGAAGAGGGTTCATCAGGTGGAATCCTTTGAGAATTTCTGACAGCATGCCGTGCATGTGATGTCAAGGTTTGTCAAAGCGGCTTCTCTGTCATTATAAAGGTCATTACCGTACGGTGTAATACGTATACTATTGCCATGAATTGATGTGCAGACTTATGAGGTGTGTCAGAAATTTTCAAGGACTGGTGTCCCCAACATATTTCAAATTATGCGTTGACACCCCTTGTATGCCGTTTCATTACACAAGTTGAACTATCAGTGAGAGCACAATTCTTCTTCATTCTTGCGAGAATTCAAATGCAGTTCAAGTCATTCAAAAGATTCTTTGTGCTCACTTTGACAGTAAATGTTATTATTCATGAAAGCACATGCTATATTCCAAGCTATTATTACATTAAGTGAACGTTTGAGTCTTTGTTTTTTCCAGGGAACTTTTTGCACATAACCAATGGCGAATGTCATGTCAAGCCAGCGAGGCCGCGTCAGAGTGCCTGCCTGCAGGTGTCCAAATGACCTCTGCAAATTATGTGGAGCTTTGATCTAACCATTTCCTGTCAAAGGAAGAACAGTGCCTTCTGCTGTAAAGTAATTATCACGCAAGACAAGGTACCCCACTGTGCTGCAAAGAAGAAGAAAAAAATGGCATTGAAGCTTTTGCTGCAGTGGGTATGAAGGGAGAAAAACAACATCTTTCCCTGACCTCAATCCTACCCTGTGGAGCATATTTACAAGGAAGACCCATATATGTAGACGGCATTATATAGTACTGGACCAGCAAACAGCTACTTTGGGAGGCAATTATTGCATCGACAAATGTGATCCAAGCTGAAACGATCTATGGATGAGAGAGTTGTATATTGTTATATTGTCTGTCTACATTTATTACTGCACCAGTTGTGTTCACATATCCACTGCTTGAGGGAAATACCTATGATTTGGATCACAGTTTACTTAAAGCCTTCCACATTTTGACTCAAAATACAAAGAGCCCTGCTTCGTGACTCACTCTTGCTTCAACAGCAACACATTAACCATCCACCAGCCAGCCATCCTGCTTGTGTGATGGCACAGAAAATGAAATGAAGGGCCTCTCCTCTTTTAATCAAGCTCACCCACAAACTCCGCGGTGCGCACTAACCACTGCAGAAGTGCACATCGTGCCT